TAGGTAATTCTATACTTAGCAAACTGATAGGAAATACTTGTTTCCTTAAGAAGAATTTATATGAAAATGACAACAGCTGTAGACAAAGTGTAAAACAGAGAACTTGGACCTCTTTTTGCACCATAAAATATTGAAGTTTGTTAATACATGCATGAAATGTTTGCCAGAGTATTTTTTCACTGATTTGTAAGGAAGCAGTTGCAAAAGATCATACTTTTTCCTTCCTCAAGAGGAAAAGGGAGGAGGGTGAAAACATTTTGCTTATATAGCTCTAGCGATGTCTTGATAGGCCCTACAGTAACTGAGACACACTCATCCTGTGATATTCATTCAGGAAAAGTTTCTCAATTTGACTCTGACAATGGATATAGAGTAAATAAAGAATTTAAGTTTAAAATTGGTAAGCGATGCAACGCTTACAAGCAAAGTTCTGCTTAACTATTTAAGCAAACGGTCATTCTGCTACCTATAAAAAGAGAACCCCCTTCAAGTCTTGCATTTCAATATTTAAGTTCCCAATTAAGCAGATACTACCACTGTATATTGCTACTATAATACTTCTTTTTTTTTTGACAGCACAGTAAAACCCCCAAAATATAGACCTTAAAATTACTGGAGATGTAAAAAACTAGTTAGTTTCTAAGAATATTTCCAATGTCTAATCTATTTTCCAATGCCTTTATCATTGTAAACATGAGAAACTAATTTGTCCAAATGTGTAGGGTGGATTGTTTTTTTTTCCCCTCTGCTAGTTAGCCCTCACAGATACATAGCCCCAACCCCTGTAATGGTTACAAACCAGAACAAGTTCAGAGAAATAATTATCAAAACACATGTGTATTTTATATGTGTACACGTGTATATATACACACAAGCATCCATATACAATTGATATATATAAACGCATATATAAGTGGAATATCACTCAATTGTAAATTCATTTCCATCTGACTCAATTCAGAAGACAAAATTATTCACACTCCTGTGTTGCTGAAGGTCCTCCTTCTTACTTGCACAGTTATGTGCTGTTGTACCACCTGGTGAGAGCAGAGGCTAGATATTCACCAGCTCTTGAAAAGTCAGTTTCCTGATGAAGTGCCTAATAATGAACTTGGGAACCTCTCTATAGGCTCCCGTTTCTGGCTTGTCAAAGATTTTTTAGAACATTAAAACTGGGCATTTAGGTCGACTTAGGCATCAAGAAAATGCCTTCTTCAGCCTGGAGAAGAGAAGGCTCTGGGGAGATCTTATTCTGGCCTTCCAGTACCTAAAGGGGGCCTACAGGAGAGCTGGGGAAGGACTTCTTACTAGGGCATGTAGTGATAGGACAAGGGGGAATGGCTTTAAACTAGAAGAGGGCATGTTTAGAATAGATATTAGGAAGAAATTTTTCACTATGAGGGTGGTGAGGCACTGGAACAGGTTGCCCAGAGAAGCTGAGGATGCCCCATCCCTGGAGGGGTTTAAGGCCAGGCTGGATGGGGCTTTGAGCAACCTGGGAGGAGTCCCTGCCCATGGCAGGGGGGTCGGAACTTGATGATCTTCAAGGTCCCTTCCAACCTAACCATTCTATGATATTACTTTTACTTTGGTTTTGTATGGTAAAGGCTGTTTCTCTGTCTTCAAGAGCTCAGATAGGAGCAACTACTAAGGCATGAAAGAACCAAAAGAAACATCTTAACTGTATTTAACTAGAGCGAGTCATGCTGTGGTTCTATACTTGACACGCACATGCTCCTGTACTCGACACCTATTAAATGTTGAAACATTTTCTGTGATCTGTGATCTCCTAAGTCCTTTTCCACTTTTTGAACTTATGTAATTTTCATAGACATTGCAGAAACAAATTAATAGAGACACAAGTCAAATGTTCTTAGAAAGTAAGTAAAAGCATTGGCTGTCAACATCTCTCACAGATAGCAATCTTCAGAATTAGATCATAAAGCACTCTTCTTTTGACGCAGACTGACTTTTATGTGTGTCGTGTCATCCTGCAGAAAGCCACAAACTATAGGCCACAGCACACATTTCCATCTTTAACCTTTGGAAGGGCTATGTTGGTTTGGAAATTGTGGAGACTTCTGTAGGGAAGTTAATTATATAACCAGTGTATATCATTCCACAAATACAGACAGACAGACGTGTTTAAAGGATAGACTTTACATTTGTAAAAAGCTAAGCTTTTGTAACCAATTTGAAATAGAAAGAGTAGCATCATTAAAAACAAAAAAGCATCAACTTTTGTTTTACAGATCAGCAGACTCACATAACACTTTTAAATCAGTCCTAAAGTTTAGAATTGCATCAAGCCTCAGTATAAAAATATTCAGCTCACAACAGATGACTGTTTGCATGCCTGTAAGTTCATAACAAGAGTGGCTTGGTTTTTGCATGGGAGATGATAAATGGCTAGTATGGACCACTGCTTTCTCTTCCTATAAAAATAATACTCCAAGCTATTAAATACTGCAATTCTGAAGAACATGTTGTAGTTGTAGCTTTTCTAAAAGGGGAGATGAAACAGCCTTAATTCATTGGAAGCACTCAGTAATCTCAGAGGGGAAAAATACAGCCAAAGATGAAAGGAGTTCACAAATTATCTTCATCAACTGTAAAAAAACCCCAACTTTCAGAAGTAATGTCAATTTAGGTTTTAGAACTCTGTGCTAAAAAAATAGCATTAAAAAAAATACCATAGCAAAATAAAGCAGCAGCAAAAAGCCCAAGAGAAAAAAGAAATGCTTGTCAGGCATTTTTTTTCCCCCCTAATTTTCAACATTTGCTGTTACAATACTCCAAACCCTTTTTCATTCTAGACTCAGTGCATTTAAAAAGATTGATATTTCTCCCCAAAATAATCAGGAAAGCTGTAACAGTAAACATTCAAAGTTTATTTAAACCTGAAATTGTTCATGTTTTTGCTAAACAACTGGAGGGGAGGGAGGCCCTGTAGTGTTGGACAGTCTCTAACCCAGAGAAGGCACCCGGGGACTCCACAGCTGGCTCTCAGCTTGGGTCCCTGCACGTTGAACCCACACAAATGCTGAAGAGCTGCTCCTGTGTCCAACACGGTCCTGCTGGCTTTGGAAGCACAAAGGCTTCAGTAGCACACAATAAGGGCCACCAGCAGTATAATCCAAACACAAATTTGCAAAGAAAATATTAAATACGACCACAAGGAAGCTATTAGGTTTGGTTAATATTAATGTTCTAGAATATACCACGGATTAGGTAGATTTGCTAGCCATTTGCAGATTGCTAGCTTTTAAAAGTAGGAAACTAAATGCCTTTAGGGCAGCTCAAAAATCATAAAATCAATTCATGTCATGATGAGTCCAGTTCCTCTTGAGCAGAGGAACTCCTTATTAAAAAAAGAGCACATGGTAACACATATTCTTTCCCATAGGACAGCCATTCAACATCATGCAGTGGTAGTTCACAACACAGGAATTAGATGCCAAAATGATTTTATTTAGCTTTTTGAATACAGAAGACATAGGACCTCTGCA